AGAGCCCGCACGGCACTGTACCCTGCCCAAGTAACCCGGAGCCAGCCTGGGGAGTGTGACGCAGCAGTACCTCCTCCCACCCCAGAGAGGCACACACTTTCTGTGCACACGCACACCCCACGCAACGCTACGGGCTTGGGGAAGAGTGGCTTGTCCTCATCTGGTCCCATGTTCCCACGCAGATTGGGATTTCTTATGTCGGAGGGGATGGGCTTTAGGGGGACACCATAACTTAAACCAGGCAGTGACTACAATGATCCGTACATTACTTGTAACAAGGAGGAGGATGCAGTCTGTTCTTTTAAGGTTCCCTATTAGGATGCTCCCCATCATGTCGGTGTTCTGACGCTTCAGGAAATTTAATCTTGGGAAAAAAGGTTGGAGTGTTGAAAAAGGGGCCAGAATAAAACTGGCAAGCTGGCATTCTCAGCTGTGGGAGAAGCTAAACAAGACATCAGTGCTTCTCAGTAAGAGTTCCTGCTTGCACAGGACATTTCTAGCTAAAGCAGAGACATGAAATACTAAGCCAGGCCTCTGATTCAGTGGCTGCTTAGAGCAGATTCCCAAGTTTCTGCTCATGAGCAAGCCTAGGTTGAAGGGACCACCCCTGGCAATGTCTCCAACCTGCATTGCCTGGTGCATCCAAACAGCCTGTTGACTCCAGCAGCTGGGCACAGTTTTGTCCCAGGGATGCAGCAGCACTTGGAAGCTCAAACTACACACCAGGAACTAGTAAGAGGGCTGCCAAGAACGAGCAGGTTTCAGCCAGATTTATGGATTGGATCAAAAGCTCCCAAACTTACTCTGTAAACCATATTGCACCGAAGAGCTATGCATCAGCCACTTTCCAACCCCAGCTCAACCCTTCATCTCAGGCCCACGCACAAAGTCATGCCAGGATTTTTGATTCCAGATTCTCTCTTATGGACTTATTGCTAATCTCCCAACATGTCAAACAAAGCGCTTCAGCATCCTCCTCCCATTCATGTAAAAGCACAGCGCTTTAACATGTTGGGCCCTCAGGTCTTCTTCTGAACCCTCCATTTCTCAAAGATTCAAGCAGCCAAGTGTGCAGGTCTGGATCGCATACATCACTGCTTTTTTGTAAAGGGGCCATTTGTGGACTTCCACGGGGAGCCAAAAATCACCTTCAGGAGCGGAACAACATGGCAAGAGTGTGTCAGTGTGTCCTGCTGCTCCTTTACTTTCTCCACTTTCCCCACTCTCTGAACATGTCAAGGAGAAGCAATGCCCAAGTCGTGGAACGAGAGTCAGTTCAACAAGGGTACGCTCCTCTTTTTCAAGCTAAATACAATAAGGGAACAGGCTGATAAACTGGGAATTCTTTTCTCTTGTCTTTATCTTGGCCTAAGTTAATTGCATCAGCAATGGAGAGAAGAACCAGAGATAGGTACGGGACAATAACAACACAACACTGCTGGACCCAACTCTGGGCTCATCCCATCCCACTCCTGTCTCCGCTCATCCTCAAGCCTCCATCCTTGTAAACTCTGATCCGTACTCTGGAGCTCAGGGACCAGCTAGTTTTGAGCTTCGTACTCAACTTCTACAAAGAGAAGCTTCCGATCCAAAAATGGGCTAGTCCCATACCTATTACTTATCTAAGAATTTCTTTAAAGTTTTGGTGCTGTAAAAAAGCCTCTCTCCAGGTTTTCAGAGGAGATATCAGGATTTGTTGACCGTGGGCTTCTCACAGCACAGACACTCTGAGTGGGGAAAATACAACCACCTAATCAGAGTAAACCAATCACTATTTCTTCTGGGCTTATTCCATGAAAATGGTCCAGCACCCTGGAAGGTGCCAGGAGATAAAGGCAGCACCTCCACAGCTGTCATGAGCGAACACTGCCTACATCCTGATCCCCAAAGCACACTTTGATCCATGTATAAGTGTTCAGCCCTCAGACACTGGTGGTGCATGAAGGGAACAGCCCAGAGCGTTGCAGCAGCCTCCAGCTCAACCAACTCTTCAACAAGGCAGAAAAATTATCCTTACGTTTTTTGCCATTGATGTGATCCAAGAAGTTAATGGAGTCTTTCACCACGCAGTCGCATACGTTACAGTAATACCTGGCAGGAGAGAGAGAAAACATTAACGCCAAAGCATGAGACAAACCTCATCTCACAGAAGAACTATTTGAGATAATCTAAAATGTGAAATCTGCATGTCACTTGGGATACGGCTCCTTTCTCCAGGGCAAGGGGGAAGCTACTTCCATTACAGAGAGCCCCAGTGAAAAGAAACATGCAAAGGCACACCCCAGATTGACAGAGCTGCCCGGGTTAACACTGGAGGTACCAACCCTTACGCCAACACCACAGTGACAGAAACCAAGACACGAACTGATCCATAACTATGTCAGTCATGGCATCTTCCCCTTCCAGTCACACCCAACAGGGTGGGATGGACTCTGCGACACCGCAGTTCTCAGCTGTCCTCCTCCAGGGCAGGGCTGGCCCCGCAGCCCAGGTTTCCGGACTGTCGCCTGCTGAAGGCTCCCACCTGGCTGCCAGGTAAGTCCTCCCATCCCTATCGCCTCACAGGAGCAACTCCCCGGTTTATACAGCAGTGCTTTCTGCACATCTTAAGAGCTGTTGCAAAAACCCAGCCAGGGCCTGTGCTTCCATCCCTGGATGCTGTTCAGGGCTGCGCATCTCCCTGGCATGGCTGGCTATTAGGTTACGACACTGAAACACTAACAGGCTTACTCCTGAGGTGGCACAAACTCAATGCATTCTTTTCAAGCTCTTGACGGCTTAGGGTGAGCTAAGAATCCTTTCAGCCTTTGGCCGAACACGATCCACACAAACAGTGGCCAAACACCATTCCTAAGGACAGGTACCTGGATGTTTCTCCCATTCCCAGTGCGCAGATATCCAAATCCAAAACTCAAATCAAGAGCGGACAGGGTCTCGCTGCAAGCAGACCTCCTGGCTAACAAAACCCAAGCGGGCAGCAGAGATTTGCCTCAGTTGTTTCTACAGGTGGGCAAAGCAACACTGATATCAAGTAATAATGTCCGAAGGGGCTCAGCTGCTGTGTCTCTTCCATACATTACCCCGGAAGACCCAGTTTAGGTGTAGCACAGCGCAGCACCATCGCACCAGGCTCAAAACACAGGAGGAAATCACCGCCCGGGGCACCGTAAGGGCTCACTGCTGTGTAACTGCCCCCCGTCTCGCCAGCACAACTCTGAGCCTCCAACAAAAAGACCACGACCCACCCTCCCATCTCTGACTGAGGGGTAGTTTTGGTGATGACGATGGTTTTCCCCAGCTTCGATTCCAGGTCCACTTTGTAGTCTCGGTGCCGCAAAAGTTCCCTTTTGACAGGCTGAGCTGGTTTGCCTAAAACATAAGCAAAAAATCAAAGCGTTTACCAGAAAAGGTCAAGCTCGACACGCTGGATTTAACACTGCCCTTGATGAAGAGGGGCTACCAGGAACCTGGGAACTACTTGATTCGTGCAGAAATTGCACCGTTTTTTTTTTTTAATCAGTAAAGGATATAAATTCCTCCTCACTATTTCCTGGTTCCTATTAGAACCAGGTAGATCTGTGAGGTATCTCCAGCTCTGACGTGGGTCATACTCCGAGATCTTATTTCCAGGGGCTGATTGTTCCTCTCCCTCCCCAAAGAACAGGCAGACAGAGGCAAAGGTTCTCAGTAATTAGTTTTGTCAAAAAAATATATTCAGTGGCAAGCACAGGAAAAAGGATCAGAGCAAGCCAGCCTTGAATTGCTGCTATTTCCCTCTGGGATTTCACTTCTAGCTGCTCTCTCCCTCTCAAACTCAAAGGGTTTGAGTGACTCACTACCAAATGAGCAAAGCTTGCCTGGAGTCAGTACACTACGCACCATCTTTCTTTTCTCTCTCTTCTGTGAGCCGCTTCTCTGCAAGTTTCTCATATTCATCTTTGTCCCACTTTCGGCGGAAGTCCAAGTTCTTAGTCTGAGAAGGAAACAAAGTGTATTAACATTTATTATACAGTTTGACTAGCTCTGAGGGGAGACTGGGGAAAGAGGTGGAATCACTTGGCCTGTGAGGCCACAGCAGTAAATTAGGGGCACTATAGGGTTATATCCCCATGTCCTCTGGTTTCGTATCTAGGAATTAAGGACGTAGCTTAAGAGAATAACACTCAGCACGCCTATATCTACTTCTTCTAGAAGGATTTCAAAGCACTGAGAAAAGTAATGAGTTTATCTTAATAGCTCCTGAGATGATCATCCAGGCTTTTGCTTTGAAAAACAGACACAAACGGGATTTAAACCCATTGATCTACGACCTCGGAAGCGTCACCTGACAAACACAGCACAGTCATTAGCAGGTTACACGTACCTCTTCCAAAAGTCAATTAAACCCAAGTTGCAAATATCAGATGAGGAAGCCGTGAAACACAACACGAGCTATAAAGGGTCTGATTAAAATGCAGGAGTACGGAAGGCTGTGTATACCTGCTCTCCAAGAGATCAGCAGTACGTCTATGCATTACAGGAATCAAAGCGCCGAGTTTGCTATGAAATCACAGGAACCAGTATGGGTTTTTCAAGTGAGACGCGTAGAAGCAAACCAGAAAAAGTTGAAACCCCACCGGCCAAGGCACAGCATGGAGGTACCAGGGAAGCCCCTGTACGGAACACCCGGTAAGCTGTGCTGCTCCTGCAGCTTCACGCCGCAGACAGGCAGGGAAGGGAAGAAACGCCTCTGAGGCAGACTGGCCCTTCGGCAGCTCCCCAGAGCACCCTGCACTGGCAGCGACAGGGTAAGTTGCAGGAAGAGAAGCTGAATTCAGGTGAAGCTGGCACTGAAGAATACAAAGAATATTCTTTCCAGGGGGGATTTTTACCTAGTCACCAACGCTGAGGGAAGAAGTGACTGGACAAGAATCCCTCTTCCATTCACGTCTACTCTCGCCAGACCAGCACAGCCTCTTCTCAGTGCCTGCCCTGTCTGCAGTTAAGGCCCCTGCACCTGGTATTGGTCACGGCTTGTAACCCAGACACTTCTTTACTTTCTTGAGAAGATAACTTTCGTTTGGTTAGAAAGCTGCATTTCGCTCAGCACGGCAGTGAAAGGCTCTCAGTTTCATATTAAAAAAAGGACGGATGTATTTTAAAACACCTCCGGGAAAAAAGGACCCCTCCACACCCCACCGCCTTCTCCGTTCAGCCAAATCAAGAATCCAATCACAATCCAAAAGAAATAAATCCCATTTGAAGCTATAGCAGCAGCACACTCATTTAACGTTTTCTCCTCTGGCAATCCTTCAAATGGAACGAACAACTACTGATAGGAATGAAAATGCCTTAGGTAGGCGTAGAAAAATTCTCATTTATTCCCAGAGCTTCTTAAGCACTTTACGCATGTCATAACAGCTTTTATTAACCACCCTGAGGAACAGAAAAGAAAATATCACGGAGTGTAAATTAACGTTTGGGGGTATTTTCCAGAATCTAGGCTCTCCTGCACAGCAGCGCTTTATCACCAATCATAGCTGGTGGGAGCCCAGGGAGGAGGCGATTTACTCGCTGCTTCGCTCTCCCGTTGTAATAAA